TACTTTGATTGGTTGAACAAACAACCATACCACCGGAACTTAGCATATTAGGCTTATATAGGACTGTAGTCAGCAAACTGTGGCTCATGAGTCACATGTGGCTCTTTGGCCCCTTGAATGTGGCTCTTCCACAAAATACCATGGCCTGGGCGAGTCTATTTTGAAGAAGTGGCAATAGAAGAAGTTTAAGTTAAAAATTTGGTTCTCAAAAGAAATTTTAATCATTGTACTGTTGATATTTGGCTCTGTTGACTAATGAGTTTGCTGACCACTGATATAGAATAGTAAAAGGCTAATATGAAAATTGTCTCCTCAACAGGGAGTTCATCCAGGAGTTTGACCAGGAGGTGGGGGTCAGCCGGCCAACCACCCATGGCCCCTCCCCTTGGCCAGCCTGGCCCAATTGACCCCAATCAGGGCAGGCTGGCCAGACCCCACCCATGCAGAAACTCGTGTACTGTACCTCTAGTTAAGAATAAGATCTGTTTAGAGTAAAATAATTGCAAGTGATACCAGGCCTCTTAAAATATCTAGTCAAGAGTCTTTGGTTATGATCACAAGAAGTAGAAAAGACATCTCCTTGGTTCAGATCTTCTCTTATTGTCAATGAAGGGAAATTCCACTAGTAAGTCAGAGGCCCTCCCGCTACCCAACCTCTGTTCACAGCTTAAGCAGAGGTAGAACACTCTTCAAATAGACATCCCATTTTCTGAGAACTGTCACTACTGTAACAGGGAATAAAGCTTCATACCAGTCTGACTAACCATGAGATAGAAGTAGAATAAAATGTACTAAAAAACTGATAAAAGCAATGAACATACTGACAGTTTCCTTATAAACACATTGCAGGCATCAGCAGTTCTAGTTCTTGCTTATACAAAAAACGGCCTTGACTTTGGTTTGATGTAGATCATCCAACTGCAGGAATTTGGCTAGCACTGATCAGTTCCATATGTTGACATTAACAATCCATCTTGGGACTAGCAAGGACACTGCCTGCTTGTCCACAGCCTCTCCTCCTGATTTCTTTGTTCTGTATCCCTCTCTTTCCCTTTAAAAATCCCTGCCTACACTGAGGTGCTAAGATGGATTTTGGACAAGAGTCTCTCATCTTCTTGAGATGTCGACACTTGAATAAACCTTTCTTTTTTTTTTTTACCAGCATCTCTCTCACAAGTTTGGTTTTCATGGTGGCAGGCAGTCGAACCTTGTTTCTGATTACACTATTGGCACGTTCCTGTAGCTGTCAATTTAATACTCTGACAAATATTTCTTTAAAATCAGAGGATATAATTTTGTAAAAATTTATTTTTCACACGGTCTGTAGAATTTTAATTAACCTGATTAAAGAAACTTATATGTGTTTGGATGAATAAGGAGTCTGAAGAAATAAGGGAGTAATTATATTTAAAAAAAATCAGAGAATATTTTAATTATTAATGAAAAATTTTAATTAAAAATCTATGAAGACAATGCAACCATTAGAAAAGTATACTCTATAAATGTCAACTTACCTATAGCCTATTTAAAAGTACAAGTTGAGGAGTAATTATGAATTAAAATCTTAACGACATAATAAAAAAATAGTTTACTAAAATGATAATGACTCCGTGTAGATGATACCAAATAGCAGTGTGGTGGTAAATTTTACATGTCCATGTAGCTAGACTATGTTTGCCAGTGTTTGGTCAAACACTGATTTAGATGTTGCTATAATGTGAGTAGCTCCATCCAATCGGTTAAGAGTAAAGGCAGAGATTCCCTGAGTATTAGTGCCTTCAGATCACAAAACAGGGAGTCTGTCTTATTTTCCAGGTTTTAGACTCAAGACTACAACAGCAACTCTTACATGAGTCTCCATTTTGCCAGCTTGCCATACAAATTCCAGACTTGCTAGCTGCCACATCATGTAAGCCAATTTCTTTTCTTTTCTTCTTTTCTTTCTTTTTTTTAAAATATATTTTATTGATTTTAGAGAGGAAGGGAGAGGAAGAGGAAAAAACAGAAATATCAATAATGAGAGAGAATCATTGATCGGCTGCCTTCTGCATGCCCCCTACTGGGGATTCAGCCCGAAACCCAGGAATATGTCCTTGGCTGGAATGGAACCTGGGACACTTCAGTCCAAAGGCCAATCTATCCATTGAGCCAAACCAGCTAGGGTATAAGCCAATTTCTTAAAATCTTCCCCCCCTCTCTCTTTCGCTCCCCCCACCTCTCGATTTTTATCTCTCTCTTACAATCTCCACACTGTTGGTTTTCTGGAGAACCCTGACTAACACAGGAAGATTTGAAATGTAAAAAATCACTTGGTTTAATATTTAAAAAATACATATTTTTATTGATTTCAGAGTTGAAGAGAGAGAAAGAGAGAGATAGAAAGATAGAGATAGATAGATGAGAGAGAGATAGATAGAGAAAGAGAGAGAAACATCAATGATGAGAGAATTATTGATTGGCTGCCTTCTGCATGCCCCACACTGGGGATAGAGCCTGCAACTCCAGCATGTGCCCTCACCAGGAATCCAACCATGACTTCCTGGTTCATAGGTCTACACTCAGCCACTAAGCCATGCCAGCCCTGTGGTTTCTTTTTAAAAAAATATTTTCATATGTTTTTATTGATTTCAGAGAAAGGAAGGAAGAGAAAGAGAGAGAGATAGAAACATCAATGATGAAAATCATTGATTGGATGCCTCATGCAAGACACTGGGGACCAAGCCCTAAACCTGGGCATGTGCACTGGTACATGGTTTGATGCTCAATTACTGAGCAATACTGGCCCGGCCACTTGGTTTCATTTTTAAGAATAGCATCAATCACCAAGAAATGTGGAAATTCTTAGGTATTTGGTAATGTTTATCAAATAACTCTCAAAATAAGGTGGGGGGGAGATATCTGTAATACTCTCAAAGATAAAAAATAAAATATGAACTCTTAAAAATGCATTTAAAAATAGTTTTCAATATTTATAGCTGAGGGAAGTTGGTGGTTATTTTAGTTGATAAGGAAAACATCTAGATATTTTAGTCCAGAATGGTCAACTACTCAATATAAATTATTTTTTAAAACTGTATTAATGGAATAATCTTTTTTATTTGTCTTCAGAAAAAATGCCAGAATTGAGAAATTCTTTGGTTTGTAGAGATGTTTTAACTATACTACAGATAAGTTTAGAGAGGGTTTTTAAAAGGTATACTATATGCATTTGCTATATCTTAAAAGAGTTATTTTAATTTTCAGAACATACTTTCACTTATCAAAGTTTTAATATTTAATTGATTTCCCCTTTCGATTCTGTTCTCATTATTACAAATATTATGCCAATAATATAACCTGACATGCCATCAGATATTTACCTCAAAACCCGTGTTTCCCCCAAAATAAGACATCCTCCGAAAATAAGACCTAGCGAGTGGAAAGATAAGACTTCCCCTGAAAATAAGACCTAGTGCAACTTTGGGAGAAAAAATTAATATAAGACACTGTCTTATTTTTTGGGGAAACAGGGTAATATTTTGTTTCTGAATAATGTTTATGTTATTCTTAAAGGAAACTATAGGCATGTAAGAAAAAATATCTGGTATCTGCAATGTTTAGTTCTTTAGATCTACTGCAGTCAAATGAAAATTTCTAAAGTAGAGAATGCAAATATTGATACATATAAAATTGTAATTTAAAACACACACACACACACACACACACACACACACACACACACACACACAAACCTGAGCCCTGGCCGATGGCTCAGTTGGATAAAACATTGTCCCATACATTGAAAGGTTGTGGGATCAACTCCAGGCCAGGGTACATGCCTAGGCTGCAGGGTTGGTCCCTGATCAGGGATCGTATGGGTTGCAACCAGTCCATGTTTCTCACATTGATGTTGCTCTCTCTCCCTCTGAAATCAATAAAAGAACATATTTAAGAAAATATTGCCAAATAGAATTCTCAAGTGGATGCAATTAACACTTACACCAGTAGCAGTAAGAGTGTGCTAGTTGCACCATATATTTGCTCCTGCTTGGTTTTGTCTATATATTTTATTTTAGTTTTTATGGGGATGTATTATAATAGTATTTTTAATTTACATCTCACTGGAGAATAATGAACTGCAGCATTTTTGCATATGTACTAGTATATTTTCCATCTAAAGACATTTGTACATGAAACTTCCCTTCAAATCTATTGGGTTAGCTTTTTCATATTGGCTATAGAACTTATTTAAATTTCTAGTTACAGTTCCTTTTCAGATGTATTTGTTGAAAAAATATTTTCCTACTCTGGGGTTGGCTTTACATTCTCTTAATCAGTATTCTTAATTTCAGTGTGGACCAGTTTGACATTCTTTCTGTTTGTTAGTGTCCTTTGTATCTTCTTTCTTAAAAAATATACTTTTTTTATTCATTTCTGAGAGAGGGAGGAAGGGAGAGGGAGAGAGAAAGAAACATCATTGTGAGAGAGAAACATTGATTTGCTGCCTCCTGCACATCCCTACAATAGATTGAGCCAGTGCCCGGAAATGTGCCTTGATTGTGACTCAAACAAGTGACCTCAGTCCATGGGACTATGCTCAACCAACTGAGCCAGACCATCAGTTAATGGTACCACCAGGTTGGGGCATGTTACCTAGTTTGGGGGTTTGATCCCTGGTTGGGACTCATATGGAAGGCAACTAATGTTTCTCCCATCGATATTCCTCTCTCTCTCTCTCTCTCTCTCTCTCTCTCTCTCTCTCTCTCTCTCTCAAATCAATAAATATCCTTGGGTGAAGATTTAAAAAAATACAACCTGACATACTTTTTTTTTTTTTTTTTTTTACTATTACCCTTCTTTTAAACTGAAATGTTGTACCTCTCTTGAATTAAAAATGGACATTAAATTTAGATAACAGACGAGTGTAGAATGTTTTTTAATAATTAAAGTGATAAGACTTACATTTAGGATAAACTTTTTTATTGTCATGCATGAGAATTTCTCTTACACACAAATAAAAATTAAAACATTCTAAGAAGAATACAAACTATGTACAATATATTACATGCTGTCCACTGTGATGCTTTTCCCTGTGGATTCCAATTTGAATATTCTGCCAATAAAACACAACAGTTAAGAGCTCAATTTAATTTCAAGGGACCAAAATAATTAAATTAATACTCAGTTTTTACATACCGATAAGTTTTTCACGTTCTTCATTTTCTAAAATAGAAAAAAATTTGAAGGAATTCATTAGCTTTTTTTTTTTTTTTTTTTTTTTGGTTTTTAGAATAAGTTAATCAATTTAAGAAACAAAATTTGAAGAAAAAAAATGAAAGCTTCATCCCCAAATCCCATTATATTTAAAAATCCCTACAATGTTCCTTGCCAGCAATGTCATTTTCAGAAATATTGCTAGAATGCCTTTTGCATTGAAGGAACAAAAGCCAAACATAGACAAAACTATGTCACTTTATCTTTGAAACTCTGTCATGACCATTTAAAAATCTGAAAAAAGAGGTATGGAAGGGGAGTGAACTGACGATTCTCGGGGAAAAGAGGAGTGGGGGGTGCAGGAAGAGACTGAACATAAACTGTGCACCTATGGATGAGGATAATGGGGGGTGGGGAAAGGGCAGAGGGTGGGGTGGGAACCTGGTGGAGGGGAGCAATGGAGGGGGAAAAATGCGGAACATTTGTAATAATATGAATAAAGATTTATTTTAAAAAAAGAATAAAAATTGAAGGGGTCAATGAGGGAAATAGAGAGACCTGTATAATACTTTCAATAATAAAGATTTAATAAGAAAATAAAATTTTAAAAAAATCTCCAAAAAAGGGAGTCCTTTATGTAGTGTTTGGTTACACATAATCTTTTAGCAAATATTTGACTCATTTCTGCACTGGCCCTTTTCCCAAATTTTGCTCTATGTCTCTCACCCTAAAAATTATTCTCCTCTATTTACCATTCTATCAGCAATCTGCAGTTTGTTAGGAATTCATGCTATTTATTTATTTATTTATTTATTCATTGATTTTTTTCCCCCCCAGAGTGCCTGCTGTGTATTGAGCATGATTCCAGTTTTTGAATATAATGGTTACCAGAACAAAAGTAAAGTTCTTCTCCTTACAGAAAAATAAGAAAAGAAAATCTGTTATCAATTTAAAAATGAACTAAGTAAAATAAAAATGAGTAAAAATGATCATTTCAGACAGTGATTGGTATTATGAAAAAATACACTGACTCAAAAGATAGAAAATAACAAGAAAGTTAAACTAATAGCTAAAATTTATTGAGAACTTTATTTTGCACTCAAATCACTTTGTATGACACTTACTAGTAAATGCTTTTAATCACCTCAATAAAGCTACCTCATTGCAAGGTCTATACAATTAGTCATTAAACTATATGTCCTGTCTCTCAAAAAGGAAGTCAACAAAACTAAAATTTGGCTTTCATAGAAACTGATCAACAAAGAAAAGATAAAAAACAAAAATAAAAATTCATAGGGCTTATGTACTTGAAACATAACAGAGCAGTGATAAAAATATAAGAGAATTTCATTAAAACTTGTTATAAAGCATACATTTGCTAATTTTGTTCTCAAACCTTAATAGCATATAATATTAAAAGAAATTAAAACAGTTATTTGAAATGTACAAATACACATAGCCCAAAACAAAATGGTTTTACAGAAAATTCCCAAACATGAGGGGGGGGGGATCATCAGAATCTTATACAAATTGTAACCAAAATATTAAAAGAAGTAATACTCCTAACTGCCAGGAGCCAATTCAGGCATATCATTATTACAAGAGTTTTATCAAAAGGTTGATGAAACTTGGGGGCTCAACAAGGGCTGAGTCCAATATGTAATTACCTGTTGGAACTACTGGAAAGGCACTTTCCTCAAATCTGAATAGGATGATTGTTTGCTGCCAGACAGCTCAGGGCATCTTAACCTACATGTTATTGACTCCTGTTGGCCAAACATCTGAACAGCTTCTCCAATCAGACAATGTTTCTGTACCCTACCTTTTGAAGTGTATTATCTCCACCTTGCCTTAGGATAAATTGTGTTAATAAAAATCAAGGGATCCTGAGAAAAGGAGAAATCTTTAGCTCCTTTAGCTGAAGCTCCTCTGACCCCCAGTACCTTTCAAAACTATCTTTCATCTTTGGACTCATACTTTTCCAGATTGCAGAACCCTTCTTAATTCTGTGACAAGAATCCCAGCACTCAAATTCCAACTTCTTTTATGAGGATATTTCAAACTTGAAGGTGAAAGCAAATGAGAAATGAGGAAAGAAAACTTCAGACCAATGTTAATTCTAAAATTAAATTGAAAAACTGTAAGTAAAATGTTACCAAGAATCAAGCCACTGCTTAGTCAGTGCTGCTTAGTGGCTGAGCATGAAACAGGAGATCATGGGCATTGTGGGCTCAATCCCCAGTAGGGGGTGTGCAAAAGACAGCACAGATCTATGATTCACTCTCATCATTGATGTTTTGATCTCTCCCTCTTCCTTCCTCTCTCTGAAGTAAAAAAAAATTTTTTTTGAAGAAAATAAAGAAATCAGGCCATCTCTAAAAGAAAACTTCATAACCAATTTGGATTTATTATGAGAATCAAAGAAGAGTTTAAAATTGGATTTTCAGGCCATAACTTAACTAGCAGAACCTACATGAAAGTATAAATATCACTGGTTAAGTTATATATATATATTAGATATATGTACAGCTTTTTAAAATGTCAATCATATCTCAGTAAAGTGGTTTAAAAATAACAACAAAGGAAACAATGAATAAACAAAATTGAAAGAGGAAACAGAGTGTGATAAAAGATTTAAAAAATTAAAAACCACCTGTATCTATCTCTTTGCAATAACTTCAAAAAATTAGTGAAATGGGCCAGTTTTTAAAAATGTATTTATTTAAAGAAAAGTTTAGAGCACAAGTCAATTTTTAAAAATTAAACTTACAAAGTAATACTTTCAAAACAGTTTTCAAAAAGAAAAAAGAAAGAAATTCTTCCATGAAGCTTACAAAGTTAAAGAAAAAAATTGGGAATAATTTCAAGAGATGCAGAAAATATCTGGTAAAATTAAACATTCATTCAAGATAAAAGGTCATGGCAAAATAAGGAAAGAGAAAATTATCATAACCAGGACATTAGGACTAATTAAAAACAATCTAAAGCAAAAATACATAATGTCGAAACATTGTCTAGCATCCTGAACAAGAGAATAGTCTCCATTAATATAACTTATGTCCAACATTGCACAGGAAGATTCACTGAATATTAATATTAGTAATATAAATAACTGATGACAGACCAAACTTGTATTTTTTATAGAGAACATTAAGAATATACAAGAGCATTAACAAACTATTAGTAAGAGAATTACATAAGAGAATTACATAATTAAAACAGTTATTTGAAATGTACATAAGAGAATTACATAATTAAAACAGTTATTTGAAATGTACAAATACACATAGCCCAAAACAAAATGGTTTTACAGAAAATTAGTAGATAGTAGATTAATATAAAAATAATTTATATTTCTATTAATTAGCAAAAATCAATTAGGAAATATAATTTTAATATGCCATTTAGAAACAAAAAAATACATGTTACTAAGGAATCTAATTTGATGAGCAAGGCCTTTACTGGGAAAAGTTTAAAACTTGACTTAAAAGGTATTTAAAGACTCAAATAAATAATCTTTATTAATATAGTCAATGTTATAAATACGTTAATCCTTCTTAAATTTACCTATAAACCCAATGTAATGCCAACCACAATTTCCAGGTCTTTTATGGAATCAATGAGCTTATCATAACATTAATTTCCAAGAGTAAAGAGCTAGAAATAACCAGGTAATTTCCAAATATTTGGAAAAGGAACAAGTTGGAGAACACCTCCTACCATGTCTCAAAGTTTATTGCAGCCTTCACAGTTTGTGCAGCGCTGTACTGGAGACATTGTCAATACCTGCTTAAGTCTCAGCAATGTAGTCATTGGGGACAGACAAGAGTGGTCATTAATCACAGCTAGAAAATCCAAATAAAATTCAATGAAATAGTGTTTAAGTCATCAGAGATCCAAAGCAACAAAAACTAGAAGGTGAAGATTTCAGAGCAGGAGATCCATAGAGAGGTGGGCTGATGTTGTGAATGTTGCTTTATCTCTGGGGCCATTTTTTGATTGATCCAGTTGAAGGGCTAAATATATGGGCTTTACTCTGGCAGAGGCTGACATATAGGAAAAGGAGAAACCGGCTGAGCTTTTGTGGGTCTTGTGAGGCTAGAGAGAGAAAAATGGAACATTGAGTAGGTCAGGGTTCAGGTGAATGGTAGAGGTTGATGAAATTAGCCCAATGGATATCCATGTTGTACTCAAGCTACTTTAATTTTGAAGCTGTGTGGGTAGGAGGCTAAGTCTTTAGGCTGAAAGCCCTGGAAATAAAAGCAGATATTTTAGTGATTGCAGTGTGCTACAGCAATAAGATATTGGAGTTTAATGACCACTGGGGAGAGGCAACAGTGAACACCCCAATCTCTCAGGGAAAAGCCCTGAAAACCTATAGCCTCAGAACAGGGTTCAAAAGAAATTGACCAAACTTTACCTATATTCTAGCCCAGCTTTCACTAAATTGTGTTTGGATTCAGTGAAACATCCTCATGTCCACCTGATCAGCAGAGGCAAAGGTAGAACTTTCTACAGTTTAGTAAAAACTTTTTAGTCACACCACGTAACTCTGCAATGTACTGTTGTGTAATAGATATCCAAATGTAGTGGTAGCAATTTATTATCATTTCTCCCTGTTATCTGGGTTGGCTGGCTCTATTAGGCAATTGCTATTACACATAGTGACATCAGGGGTCAATGGCATGGCTGCATTTCACTGCAGTTCAGGAGGGGTTGCAACAGAAAGATGACCCCTCCTCTTCTAGGGCCTTTCTTCATGTGTCTTCTTGAGCAGGAGAGCATGGATTTCTCTACCCTGGGAGCTTCCAAGATAGCAAAAGCCAAAGCTTCCAGGTCTCTTCAAGACCAGTTTCAGAACTGGCACAATATCAAGTCCTCTATGTAAAGCGAGGAGAAATATGCTCCATTCCTCATTGGGAGTGGAGGCATGCATGTAAAAGGGGGGCTCCAGAGTTGGAGGCCATCTTTAGAGTCAATGTACCACACCAAGAAACAGCTTATCACCAAAACTAAGGGAAAATAAAACAATCTTGAAAGTAGAAACAGATCCAGAAGTGATTTGGATGCTGAGTTTTTAAAGGGGGTTAGAATATTTGAAGGTGTTGATAATGGAGCTTGGGTCAGGGGGGTTAATAGAAACACCGGCTTGGCAGCTACATGGTGTAAAGTCAGATTTTTCTTCAATTGTAGTAAGAAGCATTTGAGGAATTTTAAGAAAATACGGTGTTTGACCTGATTTTCTTTGTGTAAAACAGTTTGGAGTAGAAAAGAAAGAACATCGGTAGACTGAAGTAGTTCAGGAGAGAAATGACAGTGGCTTAGATACTGGGCAGGAAGCAGATTTGAAAAAAAAGAGTGTTTCATTGTTATCTTTTTATTTTTTCAAGGAGAAAACATTAATTTCCAAGTGGGACATAATGCAGTAAGTTTATTTTTAAAATTGCTTTGAATGAAATCTGAAATTAGAAGGACAATACTTTAATTCATTATTTAATTAAAGTATAGCATGGATACCTAAACATACATATTTCATGGAAAGTTTGATGTATTTATCACAAAGTGAACATACCTAGATAACCTTTAGGAATATTGGTGGAATTACTAAGACCTCTTTCCTTCCCAAAGATAACGTATTCCAGACTCCAAGTGTGGATTAGTTTTGCCTGATTTTAAACTTAATGTAAATGAAATCATTTAATATGTTTTCTTTTTTGTGTGTTTCTTATTTTGTCTCATTACAACTTAAAAATATATCTTTATTGATTTCAGAGAGAAAAGGAGAGGGAGAAAGAGATAGAAACATCAATGATTAGAGAGAATCATTGAGTGGCTACTTTTTGCATGCTCCCAATTGGGGATTGAGCCAGCAACCCCAGCATGTGTCCTTGAAAGGAATCTAACCTGGGATCCTTCAGTCCACAGGCTGACACTCTATCCACTGAGCCAAACCAGCTAGGACACAACTTTTTCTTTTTCTCTTAAAATTTAAAAAAATATTGATTTCAGAGTGTAAAGGAGAGGAAGAGAGAGATAGAAACATCAATGATGAGAGAATCATATATCGGCTGTCTCCTGCTTGCCCCCCAATGGAGATGTAGCATGCAAGCTGTGTATGTGCTCTAACAGGGAATTGAACCATGACATATTGGTTCATAAATTGACGCTCTACCACTGAGCCATGCTGGCCGGGTAACTTTTTCTTTTTATTTCTTTCTTTTTTACCATTTCCAAGTTATCTACTCCCTTCACCTATTTCACTCTATTTTCACTCAAATAACTTATACACTTACCCTAAAAAAAAAAAAAACAAACAAAAAAAAAACAAAAAAAAACCAAACAAATCTTTGTTTTGAGGACCTATGGACTGATGGAAGTGAAACACTAGTTTTAAATTACAATTAGTTTTGTACATTAATGTGTTACTCCTGAGTGAGTCACTATTTTAATAATAACTAATAAAAGGAGAATGGAAGCAAATGCCAATAAACATTTCAACTAATGGTTCTTTGTATAGCAGCAAATATATACTGTATAGCAGCACACTGAATCACAGTTATACTTGTCATTTAACCTCAGAGGGAAAATAATCAATGAAGAAGAGAGGGATTATCTGAGTTTATGATTTATGACAAATGAGTAATATCATCATATAGCAGCAGTGGAATCTTCTTCATAAATTCTCTATAAACTTCAGGGGAGCTAAATTTGAAAATTAATGAATTTATGGAAACTTTGCTCTCCAAATAGGAAGTTACAATTTACTTTTCCCTTTTTGCTTACTGCACAGGCTTTTTTCACAAGTGTCTTTTTTTCCACAAGAAGAGCAGGGATATCCTTCTTTGTAAGGTCGTTCCCCTACATTATTTCCTCTGTAAAAAAAAGAAACATTGAGTAGCCAAATGGCTATTTACTCCTCTAATTTATTTATTTATTTTTTGGTTGCTCATTAATTCATGAATATTGAAAGGAAAATGGTTGTGGTCCCAATTTTATGTTAATCTATAATAATAAAAGCATACTATGCTAAATAGATTGGACAGTCAACAACCTTCTCAACGTCATTCCGGACATCCTTCCGGACAAAGCCACAGCAGCAGGGGCAGAGGCAGAGGTGGTTAGGGATGATCAGGCAGGCAGGCAGAAGGGGTTAGGTGTGGTCAGGCAGGCAAGCAAGTAGTTAGGGATGATGAATCAGGCAGGCAGAGTGGTTAGGGGAAATCAGGCAGGCAGGCAGAGGTGATTAGGGTGATTAGGCAGGCATGCAGAGTGGTTAGGGGCAATCAGGCAGGCAGGAAGAGTGATTAGGGATGGTCAGGCAAGCAGGCAAGTGGCTAGGGGAGATCAGGCAGGTAGGCAGGCCAGCAGTTAGGAGCCAGCAGTCCCAGATTGTGAGAGGGTGCAGGCCAGGCTAAGGGAACACCCCCCTGCCATGCACAAGTTTTGTGCATTGGGCCTTTAGTTTCTTTTATAAAAAGATACTCTAATAAAACTGTTCTTTACAGAGTGTTCTCAATATGTAAAAGTTATATTCTATAAAAAAATTTTTTATTGATGTTTTTAGAGAGAGAGAAAAGATGTGTGTGTGGGGAAGATAGATTGATAGATTCATTTGTTGCTCCACTTATATATTCATTCATTGGTTGGTTGATTCCTGTATGTGCCCTGATCAGGTGTCAAACCCACAACCTTGGCAGGTCAGGACGACACTATAACCAACTTAGCTACCCAGCCAGGGCATTATATCTTTTAATATTCTATAAAACATAAATTTGATATGAACCCAGTGTAATTATGTATGTGACAGCCAGTTATTTTTTGTTGGTTGTAGAACACTACGATTATCTCTTCATTTTGTAAATGGACAAAGAAAAATTTATTTTTTTAAATACATTTTTATTGATCTCAGAGAAAGAGAGAATGAGAGTGATGGCAACATCAATGATGAAAGAGAATCATGGATTGACTGCCTCCTGCACACCCCTACTGGAGACTGAGCCCACAACCCAGGCATGTGCCCTGACTGGGAATCAAACCATGACCTGCTGGTTCATAGGTCTACACTCAAACACTAAGCCATGCCAGATGGGCAGAATAAGGAACATTTAAATTGCAAATGTAAACATATGCTTTATGGCTTACTTTAAAAGTATAATATCATAATCCTTATCTAGTCCTATTTGATTATGTACCTAAACAATGGTACATTTTGGACAACCATTTGACAGATATTACTTTTATTATGAGTGCTTTTCAATAATATAAGCTAATACATTCTAACAAACCTGTGTTTGTTTGTTTTTTCCATCTCAGTGTTTGTGGTAGACTTTAAAGATATTACTTAGAGTACCCAAAGAAAATATTACCAGAATAAGCCACAATTTATCTATCCATTCATAGTTTATGGACATTTGTGTTGTTCTGGTTTTAGAATATTACATATTAAGTTAGTATGCACATTTTAAACATTCATATATGACTTTTTATGGGCATACATTTTCAGGAGTGAAATAAATAGATCATATGGTCAAGGCATATTTAACTTTTTATGAAACTGCCATGCTGATTTTACAAAATATTTGTGACACTTTATATTTGGACTACCTGGTGGAGAATTGTAGTCCCTTCACATCTTCCTCTGGATTTGGAATGGCCAGTATTTTTTTTTTAACCTTTATTGTAGATAGTATTACAGATGTTCCTCATTCCACACCAACCTCCCCTTCCATTGCTCCCCTTCACTCAGTTCCTGCCCCACCCCAAGCCTTCACAACCCTTTTGTCTATGTTCAGAGGTAATGCATATATGCCCTAAAAATCTTTGGTTATTCTCTTCCCATGTCCCCATCCCCTCTCCTTACTTCCCTCCAAGATTTGTCAGTCTGTTCCATGTCTCCACACCTCTGACTCTATTTTATTCATTAGTTTATTTTGTTCGTTAGTGTTTATTTATTTATTTTGATTTTTAGATAAATTTTTTTGCTTTTTAATTTTTTATAATTGTTTAAAGTACTACAAATAGTAGTACACATGTCTCCTCCCCCACACCCCATTGACCTCCCCCTGGCTTCCCCCACCCCCAGCACATGCCCTCACCCCTCCTAGTGTCTGTGTCCATTGGTTATGCTTATATGCATGCATACAAGCCCTTTGATTGATCACTTACCCCCACCTCCCAACCCTCCCCTGCCTTCCCACTGAAGTTTGACAGTTTGTTCTATGCTTCTTTGACTTTGTATCTGTTTTTTGTTGATGTTCATTATTTTCCACAAATGAGTGAGTTCATGTGATATTTATGTTTCTCTGACAGGCTTATTTCACTTAGCATAATGCTTTCCAGTTCCATCCATACTGTTGCCAATTTCTTCATTTTTACAGCAGCGTCATATTCCATTGTGTAGTTGTAGTTTTCTAATCCCCTCATCTGCTGATGGGCACTTAGGTTGTTTCCAAATCTTAGCTATTGTAAATTGTGCTGCTATGAACATAGGGATGGATACGTATATCCTTTCTGATTGGTGTTTCTGTTTTCTTGGGAAATATTCTTAGGAGTGGGATTACTGGGTTAAATAGGAGTTCCATTTTTAACTTTCTGAGGAAACTCCATACTGTTTTCCACAGTGGTGCACCAATCCAAATTCCCACCAGCAGTGCACAAGTGTTTCTTTTTCTCTGCATCCTCTCCAGCACTTGTCATTTGTTGATTTATTAGTGATAGCCATCTGACAGGTGTGAGATGGTACAGCATTGTTGTTTTGATTTGCATTTCTCAGATAATTAGTGATTTTGAGCATGTTTGCATGTCTCTTGGCCTTCCTTATGCCTTCTTTTGAAAATTATCTATTTAAATCTGTTGCCCATTTTTTTATTGGGATGTTTATCTCCCTTTTATTAAGTTGTATGAGTTCCCTGTAAACGTTGGAGATTAAACTCTTATTGGTAATAACATTGTCAAATATGTTCTTCCATGCAGTGGGATTTCTTGTTATTTTGTTGATGGTTTCTTTTGCTGTGCAGAAGCTTTTTATTTTGATGTAGTCCCATTTGTTTATTTTCTCCTTAGTTTCCATTGCCCAAGGAGCTGTATCAGTAAAGATGTTGCTATGATAAATGTCTGCCATTTTGTTGTCTATGATTTCTTCTAAGATTTTTTTGGTTTTCCATCTAACGTTTAAGTATTTTATCCATTTTGAGTTTATTTTTGTGTATGGTGAAAGTTGGTGGTATAGTTTCATTATTTTGCACACTCCAAGAATCAGAGTCATGGGTGCAGGGTGCAGCCACCACAGGTCAGTGAGTTATTCAAAGATTCTTGTCTCATTAAGTCCCTTGAATCTCTCACTAAGTCCTTTGAAGCTCTCATTAAGATCCTTGAGTAACCTTATAATCATTATTTTGAACTCTGTATCCAGTAGTGCTTGCTCCCATTTCTTTCATTTGTGACATATTTCTTTGTCTTCATATTTTGTCTGCTTCTCTGTATTTGTTTCTATCTATTGGATAAATCTGTTATATCTCCTGGACTTGGCAGAGTGGTCTTGTATAGTAGGTGTCCTGTAAGATCCAGTGGCTCAGCCTCCCCAGTCACCAGAACTGGGACCTTTAGGTGCACCTCTATGTGGGCTGTGTGCAGTCTTGTTGTAGTTGAGCCTTGATTGCTGTTGGCATCAATAGGAGGAATTGACCTTCAGGCCAATTGACTGTGAGGACCAGCTGTGACTATAGTGGAAGAACTTCTGTGCAGGAGACACTTCTATGGAGTAGAACTTGTGTCAGTGGGATTTTGGTGCTCTCAGAGTCTGCCTTGTGGATGGATAGAGTTGTAATTTGGTATGATCTGAAGCTGTCCCCCGGGTTCACTGGCTCTGGGGACTCCCAGGAGGTGCAAAGTCAGCCACTGACAGGAGCTACAGAGAGAGCTGCAGATGGCTACTATTTGTGTTGGTCTTGGAAGTGCCCCAGGTGAGGCCCAGCTCTGATTCAGGTCAGAATGATGCTAGTGCTGGGTCTTGGGCTTCTTATTGATAGATTTGGGGCATGCTCACACCAGATGCTGCTTATCTGAGAGATTCTATAAAAGTCTAAAGCCTGAGCTGGGGCAGGTCTGAAATGACCCATCTTTAGCCAAATTGTTCTATAGCAGTATTCATTGTGGTTTTAATTTATATTTCCCTAATGATTGATATTTAGGTTTTTATCATTGCTTTTTTGCCATCTTTAAATTTTCTTTATTAAATTTTTATTCATTTTTATTGTTCTAACTCTTCCTGATATTGAATCGTGACACTTCTCCCTATATTCTTGCTACAAATCTCTTATCTGATATGTTTTGCAAAAACTTTTTTTTTACTCTGTAGAGTATCTTTTTATTCTCTTACTAATGTCTTTGAATGTCTATAATTATAATTTTAATACAATCCAACATGTCAATTTGTTGTTTTTTAAATGTATTTTATTGATTTTTTGCAGAGAGGAAGAGAGAAGGATAGAGAGTTAGAAATATCAATGAGAGAGAAACATCAATCAGCTCTCTCCTACACACCTCCTACTAGGGATGTGCCCACAACCAAGATACATGTCCTTGACCAGAATTAAACCTGAGACCTTTCAGTCCATAGGCTGACAGTCTATCTACTGAGCCAAACTGGTTAGGGCCAATTTGTTCTTTTATGCATCAGACTTTTAGTTTGGTAGCTAAAAGTTTTTGGCTATGTTAAGGGCACAAATTTTCATCCATGTTTTTTCTATAAGTTTTATAGTTTAAGTTTTACATTTAGGTCTAAGATTAATTTTGTAGGTTTTATTTTGAGTTATTTTTGTAGGTTTTATTTTGTGTAGATTCAAGTTTGCTTTTGTATATGTAGATTACATAATATTTCAGCAGCATTTGTTGAAAAATTCCTTTTCCTCTGCATTGCCTATGTATATCTATAAAGAGTCAGTTGAACACACGTGGTCAATCATGTGTAGATTTATTTTTAGACTTCTTATTCTGTTTTATTTTTGTCTAACTTTATGTCAATATCACAATATTGTGATTATTCTAGCTGTAATAATCCTTGAACACAATAGTGTCAGTCCTCCAGATTTGTTCTTTTTTTTTTTTTTTTTTTGGCTAGTTTAAGTCCTTTGCATATCCAAGGTCTATCAATTTTTTAAAATAAAGGCCTGCTGGGATATTTATTGAAATTGTGTTGAATTTATATGTCAATTTATTGAAAAATTACATTTTAACAATATTTAGTCTTTTATCTTATTAATAAGGTATATCTCTTTATTTATTTGTGTATGTTAATTTAGCTCATAAAGATTATATAATTTTCAATGTACAGTTTCTTCATATCTCCTGTCAGATTTATTCCTAGATAATGTATATATTTTAAGCTATTATAAATGATAATGTCATTTTCTTTTAGCTTCTAATTGTTCATTGTTAGTACATGGGCATGTAACTGAGTTTCACATCTTGATCTTTTAATTTAAAAAGGTCTAAACTTGCTTATTAGTTCTAGAAGAGTTTTATAGACTCCTTTAGATTTTCTATTTAGATCCAAAGACCGGTACTTAGCAAAGTATGGCCCATAGCTAAGAATTGATTTAAAAAATATATATATTTTAAGGGGTTATTTAAAATACAAAACACAAAGATGGAAAATATGTAACAGAATGCATTTGTTCTGCAAAGCTTAACATTTTTGCTACCTGTACTTTACAGAAAAATATTTTGCTATTAGGTTCAATATTACATGCAGGTTTTTCATAGATGCCCTTCATTAGTTTTAACATGTTTCATTCTGTTTCTAGCAGGCAGAGAACTTTCACTATGAATGAATGTTTTGTCTTTTATTCCATCCAGTGAGATGATCAGATGATCTTTATTTTTAGGTTAATTGATATGGCTAATTATATGAATTGATTATATAGTGTTAAACCAGGCCTATATTCCTTGACTAAAATCCATTTGGACAAGATATATTATGCTTTATCATATTATTGGATTCAATGGCTAAATTTTTATTTCAAAATTTTCTACTTATGTTCTTAAGAGATACTGCTCTATAGTTATCTTTTCATTTTATTTCTCCTGGGCAATTTGTGTCTTTTGAGGAATTTGTTCCCTTTATTTAAGTTGCCTCTTGATTATTTAACCCCATTATTATTTTTAGTGTCTTTCTTTATCCCTGGCTACGTTTTTTGCTCTGAAATCCACATTATCTGATATTAATATAGTCACTGCAGATTCATTTTGCCCAATATCAGTATAGTAAAGCTTTTCCATCCTTTTACTTTTAATGTGTTTGTGTTTTTATAAAGTATGCTTTTTGTTGGCAGCATATAATTGGTTCTTGATATTTTATCTAATCTCACAATCTCTTCCTTTTCATTTGAATTTATGTGATGTGATAGCATTTATATTTGATGTGATTATTAACATAGTTAAGATTGAGGCTATCCTCCTCTTGTTTATTTTCTGTTGCATCCGTCCTTTGTTTTTCTTTTCTTTAAGTAATTCATGTGTCATACTCATTTCTGTTGCTGAGAAGGAGTAGAATAAATACAGGAGGAGATATACTCATTTGGTCTCTCCTTAGCAATTTTGACATATTTCTGCTTCTTTTTACCAGCCCTATATATTTATTCTATGCTTGGATTTTCACCTTTTGTGTATTTTATTTTAATATTTTTGTTTGTTAAATGGTTACATTGTGGATGGATTTTATCTTCTTTTTTGTATAAAAATTTTTGGGAAGAGAGAGAGATAGAATATCTTCTTTTTTGTATAGATCAATGGGATTAGAGTTCCAGAACTTTATTTTTGTAGCCTCCCTTTAAACTTATATTATATTTCCACTTAGATGCACAATAATAAAAAAGGCAATAAAACTTATGGTATTTTTTTCTTAGAAGAATGTGCTTTTCACTATTATTCAAAATTACTTGCTCATTTCAGTTATAGTATATTAGGAAAATATATGCAAGCACATTTTGTGTTTCAGTTTTTAATATGGCAATGCATTTTATATTACCTGTTGTTCTATTTAATAAAGAATGTCCATCATTTTTACCCTGAACTTTAAATATCTCATGGTAGGTATAATTCTTTACACAAGGTAATATCCTCTCGCCACTTTCTATTTTCATCTGTTTCTTTGATTATCATTATAGTCGGAGGCTTCATTTACTACATATATCTGCCTTTTTTAGTCTAACTTCTTATTTTTGGAAATACTTTTTAACATTTATGTCAATGTAAAATATTTTTAAAAGCAAAATGACTTACAGAGGTCCATAATCACATACAAATATTGCAGTTGAAGCTCCCTCAGGTAGAGGACAAGTTCTCATTGCACAACCAACTTTATATGAATCAGCCCAAACTACCTATAAATAAAGGTATTTTGAAATAAAATATACAAAACATCGGTATGAAACAATGCACTATGAGAATAACTATAATCTTAGTCATGCTTTAAAAGTGAACATGCATAAATTTTTATTGACCATTTTTCTTAATTTCTAACATTTAGTTTAAAACAATTTTGAAAGGCTGCTTTCAAGACAGCTACCTAACTAGTTTTTCCTCACTGATAATTCTCATAAGTCAAAAATATATAATATATATCCAAAATAATATATATTCCTAGATGGTTTATGGAAAAAAATTATTTTCTTTATAGGTATAAATATAAACAATATTAAAATTACACTATAAGTGAAAACAATGATAAACTTTTATTTCTTTTTCTCTAAAAACTTCTACTTAGTTTATGACAATATTTTAAATTTTGTGTCCTAACCATATTCTACTTCTGTCAAATTACAGACAGATAGAGATAGATACTAAGAATGTATTGTGTTTATTGCAAAAACAAACAAAAAACATGCTTGCCATAAGGATGGTGGATATTTTTGTTTCATTGTAAAGAATAGCTGTTATTCAGAAGAAGATCCCTATGAAAAACTCACCAGAGGGTGAGGCAGGGGGAGATAAAGATGTGAAAAATTAGTATTCTTTTATGACAGTGATAGAGTCGAATTTTCTTCCATTTCCTAAATAAACAAAAAAGGAAAATACAATACTCCATTTGGAAAACAAAATTACAAAGGAAAATTGATATAGATTTTTGACAACACTAATAAATTTTCTGAACTCATTTATTTTACAATTCAATTAACACAATGTGTTGATACATTTTATAAACTGGTGTATTAATCACTATTTTCCATGACCTGGGTATAGTATTATAGCTATAATCAACAGTTTTGCAAAATATGTTTTTTTGTGTGTGTTTGTGTGTGTGTGTGTGTGTGTGTGTGTTTTAAATATATTTTATTGATTTTTTATAGAGAGGAAGAGAGAGGGATAGAGAGTTAGAAACATGGATGAGAGAGAAGCATCAATCAGTTGCCTCCTGCACACCTCCTGTTGGGGATGTGCCCTCAACCAAGGTACATGCCCTTGACTGGAATCTAACCTGGTACCGTTCAGTCCGCAGGCCAACACTCTATCGACTGAACCAAACTGGTTTCGGCGCAAAATATGTTTTAATGGCTGTTTGCCTGAGAGGCAGCAAAGTGCAATGAAAGCACAGTGAACAGAAAAGATTTGACTTTTGGTTCTAACCATGTTTGGGTCTTTGGAGAGTGACAGATCAATTCTGACCTAGTTTACCACTTAAACAAATGAGATTAAGCTAATTCTTTAAAATACCCATTTCTTTGGAATGTTTTAGAAAGTTAATCAATAAACTATATGAGTACACACATATATATTTTTAAAGAATTCATGTTTAAAAATTCAGTTAATGAGAGAGAATCCAAGATGGCTGGGCCCAGGTAAACACCTCGCCGCAGCACACACAACAATTTCAATAAAATACAACTAAAATATAAAATGGACATTACCCAGAACTACAGGAAAGTCGACTGACTGGAAATTCTACAACAAGAAGCAAGGAGAAAACCAGAAGGAAGTGCTGAGGAGCTGTAAAAGCCTAAGGTATGGAGACATGCGTCACGAGTGGAGAGGACGGAGCCCGAGAGGAGGAAGGCTGAGTGCCTGGAGGGCATTCCCTAGCCGGAAGGAGATAAACGCTCTGACTGAGTTGGGCCCCAGTTGTGACTTCTCTAAACCCCAGTTCTAGGCCAGACCCCGGGGACCCAGGCTCACACAGCAGGAGCTGGGCTGTAAGGCGGAACCCCGGGGGAGCGGCGAAAGGAGGTCCCGGCGAAGCGCACATTGTGCGCAGAGAAGGGACGGTTGGCTGTGCCGCGGGATTGCCCTGGGGGGAAGGAAACAGGGGCTCCAGACTGCTCTGAACACCACCTCCAACTCCACTTCCAACTGAACTGAACCCCAATACCGGGCTCCTTGGAGGAGAGCATAGACTGTGTGGTAGCTGGTGAAAATCGAGGGCACCTTTCTCTCAGAGGCGCTTGCCGAGAGGACTGAAGGACCCTGGGGATTACTGAGACCGCATAGGGCGGGGCTGACGGAAGCCAAGGCTGTAGGCTCCATCCTGAAACAACCCCCCCACCCCCCCAATCTGTAGCTGCGAAATGCGACAACGAAATAGATCACAAACGAAAGAAATGGAGGACAAAAAGCGACTGGATATAGAGTTCAAATCTACGCTTATAAGGTTTTTCAAGGATTTCCTAGAAAAGATGGATAAGACCTATGAGGATATGAAAAGAGATCAACTAGAATTAATAAGGAGTCATCAAGAAATGATAAGGGACCAACAAGAAATGATAAGGGATCAAGAAGAAATAAAGAATACATTGTCTGAAATAAAAAATATAATACAGAGTCCTAAAAACAGAATGGAAGATCACAAGAATCAAGTCAAAGATTTGGAACATAACGAGCCAGAAGACACTCCTCCACAGAAGCTAGAAGGCAAGAGAATCCAGAAAATTGAAGATAATGTAAGAAACCTCTGGGACAACTTCAAGCGAACCAACATCAGAATTATGGGGGTCCCAGAAGACGAGAGAGAGCAGGATATCGAAAACATACTGAAAGAAATAGTGACACAAAACTTTCCCCACCTGGTGAAAGAATTAGACTTACAAGTCCAGGAAGTGCACAGAACTCCAAACAAAAGGAATCCAAAGAGGACCACACCAAGACACATCATAATTAAAATTCCTAGAGCAAAATACAAAGAGAGAATATTAAAAGCAGCAAGAGCAAAGAAGGTAGTTACCTATAAAGGAGCACCTATACGATTGTCAGCTGACTTCTCAACAGAAACCATGTAGGCCAGACGGGAATGGCAAGAAATATTCAAGGTGATGAATAGTAAGAACCTACAGCCAAAAATAATCTACCCAGCAAAGCTATCACTCAGAATCGAAGGTCAGATAAAGAGTTTCACTAATAAAAAAAAGCTAAAGGAGTTCATCAACACCAAACCAGAATTATATGAATTGCTGAAGGGGGTTCTTTCAGAAGAGAAAGGAAATAAAGATAAAAATTATGAACAACAAATACGTAACTATCAACAAGTGAATCTAAAAACCAAGGAAATTAAAAAAATCTGATGAACAATATTAACTGTTGAATATAATAGAATCAGAGGTATGGAAGGGGAGTGAACTGACGATTCTTGGGGAAAGGGGAGAGGGGGATGTGGGAAGAGACTGAACATAAACTGGGCACCTATGGATCAGGACAATGGGGGCTGGGGAAAGGGCAGAGGGTGGGATGGGAACCTGGTGGAGGAGAGCAATGGTGGGGGGGGGGGGGAGGAACATTTGTAATAATATGAACAATAAAAACTTATTTAAAAAATAAAAATAAAAATCCAGTTAATGAGTAACACTACACCATGAAATTTCATTTTCTTTATATGAACTGTGACCTTTTTAAAAATTTTTGGAATGGTAAAGATAAATATTGAACATGTATAGTTTTAAAATGTTTGCTTTCTTAAAGGAACTAAATGTAACATTAATATGAACATTAGTTGTAACTTCAGTACACATATCTCCAGATGGTAGTAGTAAGAACATTTTACCTTATTTTCTTTAGAACACTAAGCAAGATACAGTTGTTGATCCAATATGAGGAATGCACCTATTCCTAGCTTTCTACACAGCTGTGTACATCATCCAATGTGAAGTGAGCTTGTGGTCCTGCCGTGAAATGCTAAGAGACAATAGGTATTTGCAAACAGATTCCTTTCCTGACAGTAAAAGAGGAGACAAAGGATTGTGTAAAGGCTGTGACTCAGCCTTGATGCCATATTAGGAATATTGCATTCTTCTTGTTACCAGGACACCTGGCAATTGATCCCTTGCCTCAATTTTCCTAGCATTAGCCAAACCAAAGTCATTGTATACAACAGCTATTCTGAGAAGGACTTCTAAATTTATAGCATCCTGTGGTCAGATGAAATTTAAATGGAATAGGAGCAGAAAGCTGCTAATTTCTGTGTTCAGTGAACCACTGATAAGAATGGCATGCTTTCAGACACTGTATGTTAATTGCACTTAGACAGATAGGTTTACAGAAGAGAGCTCTTGCTTAAATGGATGGGCTCTGTGTCATGCCTAAAATGTGATTTCCATTTCTCACCCAACATTCTCATGACAACCAACCAAAAGAATTAGAAAAATAATAGGAAACAATAATGCCCCCTGAAGGATAATGCCCCCTGAGAGTTCAGGTTGGGGGAAGCTTGAATTATACAATTGTCTCAGCTTGTTGCCTTGAGAGAGTTTCCAGGCCATGACTGTTGGGGTAGGGGCGTTGAAGAAACCAGGAGGAGCCTAATGGATCCACATAGTTGAGTGAAAGCTGAGAGTCTGTGGAGAATAAGGAGGCAGGAGTTTGGGTAGTTTAGTAGGTGAAGATCATCAGTGACACTACTATGGATACCTCTAACACTACTATGGATACCTCTAACACTACTATGGATACCTCTAACACTACTATGGATACCTCTAACACTACTCTGGATACCTCTAACACTACTCTGGATACCTCTAACACTACTATGGATACCTCTAACACTATTCTGATACCTCTAACACTACTCTGGATACCTCTAACACTACTATGGATACCTCTAACACTATTCTGATACCTCTAACACTACTATGGATACCTCTAACACTACTATGGATACCTCTAACACTACTATGGATACCTCTAACACTACTATGGATACCTCTAAGGGGTCTGCATCATCAATTCAGCAGAGCACTAATCAGAGCATGCATTTGAAGAACTACCCTAGACCTCGAAATGAACCATCTATAAAAACTAAATGAAAGAATACAGGAACATACATTGGGCCAGGTGTAGGGCCTTTTCCAATAGCTCTCCTGGCAACTTTCATAATTTCTGGGGCAGTGGGTAGAATATGCAGAAGAATTTTGCCTCCATCTAATATCTTTTAAAAGCAGGAGCCAAAAGGATCAAACTAATTCCAGTAACTTAACTGGGAATTCAAGAATATTACAGGCATATAAATAAATCAAACATCCAAGAAGGCAAGATTTATAACATTGAAGATATAATGAAACATACCTAATGTGATAAGAAGCAGAAAAAATTTACCATAAGAAAGAGGGATAATCAATCTATTGAAACTACCCCAGAACTAACATAGAGAAAACATTAGAATAATTATTGTAACTATCTCATATGTTTGAAAAGGTGGATGAAATGTCAAATATTCTTTTTTTTTTACTTTTTTTTTACATTTTTAAAATTAAATTATTATCTGTGTACACATTTTAACATTGCCTTTCCCCCCTCTCATACATACCCTCCCTCCCCAGAGTTTTGTGTCCATTGATTGTACTTATATGCATGTATACAAGTCCTTTGGTTGATCTATTTTCTCCTCCAAATATTTTTTTTTAAAAATATATAATTCTTTATTGATTTCAGAAAGGGAGGGAGAGAAAAAGAGTGAGAGAGAGAGAGAGAAACATCAAAGATGTGAATCATTGATCAGCTGCCTCTTGCACGCCCCCTAGTAGAGATCAAGCCTGCAACCTAGGCATGTCCTCTTGGTCAGAATCAAACCCATGACCCTTCAATCAGCAGGCTGATGCTCTATCCATTGAGCCAAACTGGCTAGGGCTGAATATTCTTGATATAGTTACTGATTATGTAAAAAAGACAAAAATCAAGCTTTTAGAGATATAAACTTTAATGTCTAAGATGAAAAATAAACTAAATGTTATTAATAGATTAAATATTAGAAAAGATTAGTGAACTTCAAGATAAAGCAATAAGACTATTTGAAATTAATCACAGAGCAGAAAAATCTTAAGAAAGGAAAGAGAAGAACAATAATCATGGGGAAATTTAAGTGGTTGTCAACATAGGTGACTAGAACCAGGGCAAACAAAAGTCAGTAACAGAAATATTTCAAGAAGCAATATCCAGCATTTATCAAATTTTGATTTAAATTATAGACCAATAGTTCTAAGAAACTCAATAAACCACAGCACAGAAAGGTGAAGCAAATTTTAGTAAATTATGGCTAAAGATTTGTTGTAAAGAAAACATTTTTAAATGAAACAGGAAAAAAAGGCACATTACATAACACTGGAATAAATAAGACTGACAGATTTCTTATTGGAATTAATGCACTGAGATGACAGTGGAGTAATCTTTAAAGTTTAGAAAACAAAAGCTCCAGAGAATTCTGTATACAGTAATATTATCTTCCAAATGAAGGTGAGTTTTCAGAACACCCAAATGTAACTTGAAAGAAAATGCTAGCCCTGGTTAGTGTGGCTCAGTTGATTGTCCTTCAATGTCACCAACCATTTGCTGGTTGGGTTCCAGTTGGGGCACCTGCCCTGTTTGTGGCTTCTATACTCAGTAGGGGCCATGCAGGAGACAGCCAACTGATGTTCCACTTTCACATCGATGTCCCCCTCTCCCCTCCCCCTCCCCTTTCCCCCTCCCCTCTCTTTCCCCTCTCTCTCTCCCTTTCCCCTCCCTTCTCCCCTCTCTTTCCCCCTCTCTCCCCCCTTGTCCTCCCTTACCCCCTCTTTCTCCCCCTCTCTCTCCCCTCTCCTCTCTTTCCCTCTCTCTCCCCTCTGCTCCCTCCCTCTCCCTTCTCCTCCCTCCCCTCTCCCTCCTCTCTTCTGCCCTCTTCCCCCTCTCCTCACTCTTCCTCCCCCCTCCTCTCCCCTCCCCCTCCCCCTCCCCCTTTCCCTCCCTCTCTAAAAAGCAATATAAAATATTTTTAAAAAGCAAATTCTAAAAAAAATGCCTGTGATTAAAATGTGCATAAATAAGAATTAATCAATCAAATGTCAAATATTTACCTGTGTATAATGGTCACAAACTTCGGAACAATAAAAAATACTATAATTATAATTCATCTTTTCATTATTCCAAAGACCAATAGCAGATTCTGGTTTAAATTGGTATGACCCATCTAACCAAATATTTTCTCCCACATATTTAAAAGTTGGATGACACAGATATGGTTTTTCTGTGCAGGTGTTAGGTTGTTTTTGGCACTTGTTTGCCCATGCTTTTGCAGTCATCGCTAAACCTTTGTCCCAAGACTGAAAGACAAAAATAGTTAAAATTGAATTTTGCATATTCATTTGCATTGATGTTATTCTGATGAAAATAGATGAAATTTTGTTTAATTTTTAATTTTAATAAAGTGTAGTTCTTCTTTGGCATTTATTATGTTCACCATATTTAATTTGTGCTTCAGAAACACTCTATGATCCATTCTGTGGCTGTTTGTTTTTGTATTTGTTGGCCCGGTACAGTACAGGCAGTCAAAAATATTTGAATGTGATTTAAATAAGTCAGAGTTCACAGTCCAGTAATTTAGAAAATCATGCAAGCATATCACAAGTAAAGAATGAGGACCCATTTATAATTAAGAACTTCCTAGCAAGCTAGAAATAGACTTTCCTTAACTTGATCAAATGTATCTATATAAAAAGTACACATTCCTTTTGACTGATTAAAAAGTGCCTCAGCAAATGGAACAGGTTGACGGTATAACCATTTCCCCCAAAATTCAAAATTGCTCTGAACCAATGATTGCCATGTGGCTCGCATTCTTCTACTTTCTCCATAGAGATCTTTGTTGTGGTTGTGTTATCCTTGTGCTGGCATTGAAAATTGTTTATGTGGAGGACACAGATAATCACATGGCCAAGGGTATTCACACCTTGTTGGTAAGATTATTGCATACCACTCAGTGATATTAGACTCTGATTCAGAAACTGGACAGGATATTGGTGTGGGTTTTTTTTTTTTTTTTTTTTTGAGGAAGGTTAATAATTTGTTCTATGTATTAAAGAAAAGGAATGAAAAATATTCAATTACCACAAAAGGAATCAATGGTAGAGATATTTAAGGGAAGCATGCTAGGTTAACCAGACTAATTCTGGCCAGAAGGATGTGGGTGGGAATAGAATACATCACCTCTAAGTCTGATCATAAAACTTCTGTGCAGCCCTTCAGCTTTCTCAATGGTGACTCTGAGGAACATGTGTTGACATAAACCGTGATGTAAACAGCCCAAAGGCACTGCAAAGAGAACAGGTGGTATGGAGAGTGGCGTCACTGAGAAGCTAAACCTATGTTATTTAAAATAAGTCAGACAGTGAAAGACAAACTCTGAATAATCTCACTTACATGTGGGATATTAAGAAACCCAACTCATGTTACAGAGAACAGATTAGTCTTTGTCAGAATACCAGGTTGGGGGGTAGGTGAAAGGTTGAAGGTGATTAAAATGTATAAACTTCCAGTTACAAGATAAACAAGTTTTGGGCTGTAAGAGTACAGCATTGTGAGTATAGTTAACCATTCTGTATTGTGTATTTGAAAGATGCTCAGACTTTAAAAATTCTCATTATAAGGAAAAAAAAATGGCCGAAACCAGTTTGGTTCAATGAATAGAGCGTCAGCTTGGGGACGGAAGGGTCCCGGGTTCGATTCATGTCAAGGGCATGTACCTTGGTTTCGGGCATATCCCCAGTAGGGGGTGTGCAAGAGGCAGCTGATCGATTATTCTCTCTCATCAATGTTTCTAGCTCTCTCCCTTCCTCTCTGTACAAAATCAATAAAATATATATTTAAAAAAGAAAAAAAAAGAAAAAAATTGTAAGTATGAGTTAATGAATCTTATTCAGTTTTATGATCATACCTAGAAGTGATATAGTCTAATTCCACCCATATCCTTCTGGCCAGAATTAGTCTAGTTATCTTAGCATGCTTACCTTAAATATCTCTACCATTGATTCCTTTTGTAGTAATTGAATATTTTTCATTCCTTTTCCTTAATACATAGAACAAATTATTAACCTCCCTCAAAGAAATAAAAAAAACCAACAATATCCTGTCCAGTTTCTGAATCAGAGTCTAATATCACTGAGTGGTATGCATGCAATAATCTCAACAACAAGGTAAGGTGTGGATACCCTTGGCCATGTGATTATCTGTGTCCTCCACATAAACAATTTTCAATGCCAGCACAAGAATATATTATTTTATATTTTGTGATATATACATATATCAAATAATTATATTTTATAATTTAAACTAATACAATGTTATATATCAATAAAAACTTCTAAAAAGTTTGCATGATTTCAGGGCTGACCTGTTAACACATCATGCTCTATCTTTTTTGACATTTATAGAAATTGACATGAGAAAAGGGATGCCTGGTTTTTCAGGATGAGGCAGTAGTGGATGACAGGAGAAACTCCTGTGGAAGTCTTAGCCAACAGTTGTCACTTCTATTTTTGGCCAAGAAGGAGTAACTTTCTGACATGAAACAAGAAAAACAATATACGTGTGTGCAAAAGCAAGACACCTAAAACCAGGCAACAAGGACCATGATCCCTGAAAGGAGGAACCCAGTAAGGCGAGTCCTTACCTACTGCCTTGGGAGAATGTTCAGGCCATGAATGAATACTAGAAAGCACAGGCGTGCACAGAGGCAGAGATCCAAGGAGGCTTGATTAACACACACATATGAAGAACATATGCACCGCCAGGGAATGAATCACTCAAAATGACAGGAGAGCCCATTATTCGATACCTAATGCTTACACAGCACTGGGAATATTGCTTCTTCCTGCTAGCGAGATTGGAAAACCTCATAACCTTGGGAATTGTGTAGAGTACTCAGGAGGATCTCTCCTTATAGAGGGAGATAATTATCCCTAGCTTCAGTCACTTCTTTTGTTCTGCCTTACAGATTTTAAACACCAGGCTCAAAAGGATCAAAATGCCAAATAACCTAAGTCCATGCCAGAAAAAAAACTGTCAAGAATATTTACATAAATACAAAAGTTACCATGACCCAACAAACTAAAATGGACAAATTCAGATATCTGATACAAACTTATCTGAATGCAAGGACTCATGATAATACAATAAAAAAATGAGGAGAAAGACCCTGGCTGGGTAGCTCTGTTGGTTAGAGTATCATCAAGGTGCACCAAGGATGAAGGCTCTTTGGTCAGGGCACATATGGGAAGCAGCCAATGAATGCATGGATAAGTGGAACAACAAATCTCTCTCTTTCTCTCTCTCTCTCTCTCTCTCTCTCTCTCTCTCTCTCACACACACACACACACACACACACACTGTAAAATCATTAAGTTAAAAAATATTAATGGGGAGAAAAATCAATGTGTGAAAATTGAACCAGAATTAACACATATGTTAAAATTAGTAGAGAAAAAAAAAGAGTGAGAACAAATTTTATATGAATAGTTATCAATGGGCTGTGAGATAACTTCAAATTGTATAATTAATATGTTTATAAGTGGAGTCTTTAATATTTGACTATACAATGACTAAATTTTTAAAAATTTGTTTAAATTTATTTTTTATTTTATTTTTTTAATTTATTTTATTTTTTTATTTTATTGACTTTTTACAGAGAGGAAGAGAGAGGGATAGAGAGTTAGAAACATCGATGAGAGAGAATCATCGAACAGCTGCCTCTTGCACACCCCCTATTGGGGATGTGCCCGCAACCAAGGTACATGCCCTTGACCGGAATCGAACCCAGGACCTTTCAGTTCGCAAGCCGATGCTCTATCCACTGACCAAACCGGTCTCTGAATTTGTTTAAACCTGAAGATCCAAGAAACCCAATGAGTCCCAGGAAATATGAATAAAACTATAACAATGCACATGATAATCAAATTGCTGAAAACCATGGATAAGGCGATTTCTTTAAAGCGGTCAGAGGAAAAATACACCTGATATACATGGGAACAAAGAAAATGATCCAGTAGACTTTTCATCACAAACAAAGTGTAGCAGGGCAACCTAGAATTCTGTGTCTAATGATAATATGGGTTATGACTTAAGGAGAAATAAACTTGTAGACACAAAAAGTTGATAAGATTAATTGCCAACAGACCCATAGTATGAGAAATATTAGTGTCCTTTAGGCAGAAAGAAAAATGATACAAGGTGGAAATATTGATCTGCAAATATTTCCACCAGATCTTTAATGTAAAGTATTAAAATAACAAAAATGATTGCATGTTTACAAACTTGAACTATATATAAAACAAAGTAAATTCAAAAAAAAGGCTCATGTTTCTTCTACCTTACTCCATTCTTCCTCCTCTTCTGCAGGTAGCTATGAAAATTTTAATTAATTTACATTTATCCTTTCATTTTTTGGGGAAAATATAGCATAAGTATGCATTTATATACTAGAATGTGTGTATATACAGGGGTGAGCAAAAGGAGGTTTACAGTTGTAATACAAATAAAATACAAGAATAAAGTGATTCATGTCTTCACAGCTACAAGCTGTATGTGAATAAATAACATATGTAACTCTAGCAAGTAACAACTTCAAGACTTCCTTGCTCTTTCCCTTCTAATCACAAACCACCCTGCAGGAGACAGCTCAGACAAGGTTTGATTTTTGACTGCATGCTGAAAGTACAAACTGAATTCGTACAAATGCGTCCATAAAATGAATCGCCAAGATCCCTTAGTATAATCTCAGCTCATTGTTTTCTTACCATGTATTTCATGTTGGCCGCGGAGGGATGGACTGTGCGACGCATTTCATTGTGAGCTTCGACACAGTCCCTTATGAAACTCTTGTCTTCGATGGAAGGTACGCTGGGAGACGATTGACTGGCTATCAGATAGAAACCTAAAGTCCATAAGAAATTTAATTTATTCCCATAAACCATGGCAAAATGCAGAGGATGCCCTGACTTTGTGGACTGGTAACGGCTAGGCCAGCCAGTGCTCTGCACTTGGGCCCAACGTTCTCTGCTGGTTTGAGCTCATAGGAGGTTGCACAGCAAGCTGGGCCCCAAGGGCAGGGCCAGAATGGACAGGACAGGGAACCGGCAGCAGTAGGAGCTGCCCAGAAAGCCTTGGGCGACGGGGGAAAACTTTGAGTTGCCCCCTGGTGCAGGCATTAATCCATCCTGAAGGCACGGTCTGTGGACCTAATCTGGAATCACCTTGAAGGGGTCTGGATTTTAATCAAGATTGCAGGATTCAGGCAGCATGTGTTAGGTAAAAAGAAAGACATGAGCCCTAGGTGCTCTGGCTCAGTAGATAGAGCATAGGCCTGTGGACTGAAGGGCCCTGGGTTTGATTCCCTGCAAGGAAGCATGCCCAGGTTGCAAGTTCTATCCGCAGCGGGGGCTGTGCAGGAGCCAGCTAATCAGTGATTCTCTCTCATCCTTGATGTTTGTCTCTCACCTTCTCTGAAATCAATAAAAATAAAAATAAAATAAAAAATTTAAGAGAAAAAAGCTGAGACAGGTTTGGCTCAGTGAATAGAACATCGGTCTGCGGACTGAAGGGTCCCAGGTTCAATTCCGGTCAAGGGCATGTACCTTGGTTGTGAGCACATTTCCAGTGAGGGGTGTGCAGGAGGCAGTTGATCGATGATTCTTTCTCATTGATGTTTCTAACTCTCTATCCCTCTCTCTTCCTCTCTGTAAAAAATCAAATATATATATATATATATATATATATATATATATATATATATATATATTCTTTCTTTTTTTTTTTAAAGAGAAAAAAAATGACACGAATTAGATGCTGACAATGGACCAGGTCTGTGAAAAACCCTATGTGTTAGTTTCATAAACTCAGCTTCTGTGTATTGCTTTTTCATTGCTTTAAATAAGCTGCAACATCAACCTCTGGTTTCCTCAGAGATTGGGAATAAAGCTAGCATATACTGGATGACGTAGTGTGATTCTCAATTATTTTGTCAAAAACTTAATTCAATGACTTCCCTGTTTTAGTATCAAAAGACAATGACTGCCTAGATTCTAGGCCCTAGAAAGATAAAAACAGACACTTGGGAAGTGTAGCCAAGTATTCACTCTGGACAAAATCTCTTCCTTTTGACACTTGCCCTTGGAACACACCTGCCTTATTGGTGACGAGGGAATTTCAGATAACGGACTCATTTAGTTGGTATGCCAAAAACAAGGGCAGAGTACATTTGATTGGTTATTTTACTTACATTGCAATATAAATCCATTTCCTTTGGCTTAATGTTTAACACCCATTATATCAGTGTTGAAGTAAGTTTTTCCTGGACCCTGCTCACTGTAGCAATTGTGGGAATACCCACTCTTTTATCCTGATTGACTATGCTGACTGTTGAGTCCAAGTCCCTGGACGCCAGGTATTAGACGAAGAAGACATGAGAAGTTGTGGGCATATGGGAGAGTTTTTATTGCAGCCCCAGTAACCATTGCTTCTAAGGAGCCATTAGACAAAGCATAAGTAGTCCCACAAAGGCAGCCATTGTACACACAGCTTTACGTAAAAGCAGCCTCAGTAGACATAGGAGCTATCACACAAAGTAGTCTGACTAGGCACCCTCTCACTGGCTGGTCAGTAACACATCTTTATTCTAACTTAGACAAAAGAGGATTCTTGCGAAAACAGTGACTCAGTATTTGGGTTATAGAAAAGCAGGCCTGCACAATGCATACAGTGAAACTGCTGTGTCCTTGCGCCTACATGTGGCTACTTGGCCTTGAACATCTGGCACACTCTGATCAGGGTTCCCATAATCAGTTATATTATTATTCACTTAGGTCAGCACTTTTTATGTGGTATTAAATGACATTTAAAAATGTATATAATTGATTTCAGAGAGGAAGGGAGAGGGAGAGAGAGATAGAAACATAAATGATGAGAGAGGGCAGTTGGAAAGCACCAAGCCTGCAAAAGAGGGCAGTTGGAGGCGATCAACCCTGCAGGGGAGGGCAGTTAGGGGTGACCAGGCCAGCAGAGGAGAGAAGTTGGGGGCAAATAGGCTTGCAGGGGAGCAGCTAAGCATCATCAGGCTGGCATGAGAGTGGTTAGGGGGTGATCAGGCTGGCAGGCAGGCCAGCAGTTGGGAGCCAGCTGTCCTGGATTGTGAGAGGAGTGTTTGTCCGTTTAAGGTATTGTGCCTAAATGGGCAGTCAGATATTCCTCAGGGTGTCTCAGATTAGAGAGGGTGCCAGCTAGGCTGAGGAACACCTCCCATGCATGAACTTCATGCACTGGGCCTCTAGTCTATATATATAAAAGACAAGTAACCAAAATGACTGGAATGATCACAACAACTAGCTCCTATGATGGATATTGAGGCCAACCGACCAGCCTGGTCAGAGGCGGGGCTGGCCGGCAAACCTTCCTTGGCCCCTCTCCCAGGCCAGCCAGCCTCCCTTAGCCCCTCCCCTTGCCAGCCCAGCCCACAGTTGAACCCCAATCAGGGGTGGGGCAGGTGGCCAACAATCCTTAGCTCCTCCCCCCAGCCATCCTGGCCAGATGCCACCCATGCACAAATTTGTGCACTGGGCTTCTAGCTGTAAATAATGCTGCAAAGAACATAGGGATACATATATCTTTTAGAATAAATTTTTTGAATTTCTTCAGATAAATGTCCAGAAGTTAAATGGATGGTTCTTTATAATGGTTTCTATGTCTTTTCTCTTGTTTGCTTGTTTGTTTACAAAATTTCTTTGTTGAAGTTCTCCCTCCATATTTTCCCATAAGTTTCTGAGCATCCTTATAACCATGTTTTGAACTCTGCATCTGGTAGATTGCTTGCCTCCATTTTAGTTACTTAATTTCTGGCATTTTGTTCTGTTCTTTCATTTTGACATGTTTTGTTGTGCTCTCATTTTGACTGCCACTTTGTATTTATTTCTGTAGAGAGAGCGCGCACGAAACATCAATGTGAGAGGAAAACATCCATTGGTTGCCTCCTGCACATGCTCCTACCAGGTCTGGACCAGCAATCAGGGTATGTGCCTTCACTGGGAATCAAACCCACAATGTTTCTGTGCAAGGGATTACCTTTCAGCACGTGCGACAAGGCTCCACTAACTGAGCCAGGGGGGCTCTAGTCCACCATCTTGACTGGAACCTGTATGAATTTTTCATTGAGCTATTAATGGAGTGTGTGCTCAATTTCTCCAAATGTATACTTTTAACTTTTTTGTTTGTTATTGATGAAGTTTCATTACATTTGTAGTCAGAGAATGTTAACTATGTATAAAGCTGTTCCTACTGGAACTTGTATGAAGAAACAGATACCACAAAGAGAAGAAAGAGTCATGAAGTACCCATACATACACCCAAAACTGGCATATAACAGAAATGGCATTTCTGATGAGATAGGCATCTGATGAGAATGGCATTTCTGAGGAGATAGCCAGGGAAGGGTGAGGGGAGGGTGATAGGACTTTTAAAAGAATATTATCAGATAACTATTTATCTTATAAAGATTTAATATATTCCATTTTCTTACACCAACACAAATTCCAGAATAAGACTGTTTTCTTGTCTCTTTCAGCTTCATTGCTTGGCTCATTGGCTCATGGCCCTTCTCCCCTGTTCAAAGCCAGCAATGGCTGGGCAAGCCTTCTCATTTTATCTCACTCTGACACTCTTCTGTCTCACACGTCCCTCTGCTTCTCTCCTATAAAGACCTAAGTGATGACGCTGAGCCACGTGGATAATCCCGGACAATCTCCTCATCCCCAGATCTTTAATCTGCTATCTTATGTAAATTAACACATTTACATATTCTGAGGATTCATTAGGACCTGGACATCTTTAGAGGACCATCATTCAGCTATCACATATCCAAATCTGTCTCTCTTTTAATGTTTTATTAAAATAAAATCCACTCTCACAAAGTTTTGGGTGTATGGCAAGTGACTTTTCACAGCCTGAACAAGTTTCTAGATTAAGAAACAGAACAGTACCTGTTCCCCAACACCCTGCCCTTGCTGCTCTCTCCCAGATACTGTCCACACCCTCTGCCACAGCAGGTCGACTTCTCTGTCCTACTATCAGAGGTTATGCACTTCAATTAAATCACAAAATGAAGACTCTGTATCTGGCTTATTTTGCTTATGTTTGTACATTTTATCCATGTTATTATTAATAGGTGTCCTTTATCTTCATTGCTGTACAGTACTTCATTGTATAAATGTACCACAATTTACTTATATACACATGCTTATGGACATTTGACTCTTTATGAAGAGTGTTGCCATGAACTTCTGCATGCCTTTTTGTGAATGTATGTACTCATTTCCACTCAGCAATGGAATCACTGGAACATTTAGTATGCATGTGTTCAACTTTAAAAAAATATCGACAGCCTGGCTGGGGTGGCTCAGTGGTTGAGTGCTGACTCATGAACCAGGATGTCACTGTTTCATTCCTGGTCAGGGCACATGCCTTGGGTGCCGGCTTGATCCCCAGTAGGAGGCTTGCAGGAGGCAGCCAATGGAGTATTCTGTCATCATTGACATTTCTATCTCTCCCTCTCCCTTTCTCTCTCTGAAATCAATAAAATAAAATAAAAGCATTAAAAACATATCACCAAATAGATTTCTAAAGTGGTTGCAATTAACACTGACACCAGTAGCAGTAAGTGGGTGCTACTTGCACCATATATTTGCTCCTGCTTGGTATCATCTACATTTTTTATTTTAGTTCTCATGGGAATGGTTTAGTAATTTTCATTTACATTTTACTGGATAATAATGGACTGTAGCATTTTTACATATGTATATTGACCATCTATATACATTTGTATATGAAACTTTACTTTCAAATATATTGGGTTATCTTTTTCATATTGGCTTGGAACTTACTTATCTATTCTAGCAACAAATTCTTTTCATTTGTATCTGCTGAACAA